AAAAAAAAAAAAAAAAAAAAAAAAAAAAAAAAAAAAAAGATATAAAGCAAAACCAATGTCCCCTTTCCTTGTATATGATCCACAAGTAACTTAAATCCTGTCTTAGACTTTCTTCCTTTCTTTGGAGGCATTTGAGTGAAAATCAAGAATTAGCTGGTGCATTGCAATCGTTAATATCTGGAACTTCTAATTACTGAAGTCCAAATGATAAGGCAGAGAATTCTGTATGAGTTGCCATAAAATATTATTAAGTATGCTTGGTATTTTTGATACACTTACTACAGAACTGTAACTCCTTTTCAGCATTTCCAAGTATTTCATAATTTTTGGAGACTTTTAAGTTCACGAGATACCTCGTGTCTTTCACTGAGTTTGCTCTTATGTGTTTCTCCCTCCCTTTATGCTTCAGAGACAGAGGAGCATCCATGTGCTGTCAGAATGAAGAATACTGAAGCAAACAGACTTGTGAAGGTTAGGAACTTTCATCTTCTTTATGATTGCCTGGCTTGCCTTTACTGTTATTAGAGAACATATGTTTTAATATATTTATGATCCTGTAGTCAAAATGCTACCTAAATTAAGTTCTTCACAAGCATCTACATAGAAAGCTTCTGCCTGAGAGCTGCTGACTCTCTGATCTACCCCAATTTCAAACAGGTTGGTAAATGGGGAGTTTCTCTCCAAGGTAATGTTGGATACCCATGTTGGAATCTACAACCACTATCTGTGAGAACAGAAACCAAATTACTAAGTTAGAATACCATTTACAGATCCCTCATGAACAGGCTTGAAACTGAAAAGGCACATGAGTCACTAATTCTGTGTTAAATTAAAACTAGAGTGTACTGACCTATCTGAGCTACTGTAACAACAAAGAAGTTTTCCATACAAATGTCACGAGATTGGCTTCAGCATCAGAAGTCTGACTAATGAATCACTAATGTGACGTAACAAGCGTTGATACCTTGTCTCATAACAAAGTACTACAGAAGTATTCATTTCTCAGAGCTGATTCAGAGTATAAAGAATGAATCATTCTAATAACGAGAGAATCATTCTAACAAAATTTTATTCACTAAAGAACATGTGAAACAACTCAAATTATATTTTGTAGGCCAAAGGTGAAGCTAGCTAATGAGTTTCCTCTGGAAATTGGAATAATTTTCCAATTATTCCAGTTTCCACTGGAATTATTAAAATATCATTTTATAATTTGATATTGATATTGTAGACTCCTAATAATGCACTTCATATTATCAAGAATCTATGCTTAGTGTTGAATAAATAGAGTAATTACACTGTGTGATCTTTTTTTCTGCTTTCCCATCTTTCTTTTTAGGCACCTACGAAAAAGTTTTACTGTCAAAAACAAACTGAATCTCTCAATGCATGTAAGTATATGATGAAGCTGGCTCTGTTGCAAATTTCTCTGTATGCTGGCTAACCGTGGTGTACTCAAGCGAATGGCAAACATTGAAAAATTTATGTGTGTCCCAGTGAATATCAGCATCTAGAAGGGGAAACACTGTTAGAGTTTTGAAAATATCCTTAGATATAGTTTTGCAATGTAAGTAACTAAAAACTTTTGAAAATGCCATTTCAAGCATTTTCTCTATACAAATCAGAATATAGAAGAATATGAAACAGCAGAAGCAGCATCTTCAAGGGCATGTAGAGACTTGTAAATTCAACATGTCAATTTGAAAAGAAAGAACAAAAATACTCAAAACAGTAACGTTATTAAAAATAAAGTGTTTCTGAGTTTCCAAAATACTGGAATAGAGAAAGCAAAAGCATCTGTCAACTTTATATTTCCAGACATCTTTGCAAGTCTGAGACCCTTCAATTCTCTGTTTCTAACGTGTCAGTTGTTTTCAAAATATAACTATTACCCTGCAATCTTTACATAGACATTTGGTTTTAAATACTGCATGTACACTGATGATATACATACAATATGTAAGAATGAACATCTGTATAAAGGCTGTGAGGCAATGAAGATTAAATGCTAACTTCATCTGTGAGCTTTTCATAACTCCTACCAAATCAGTTGCCCACAAACCACGGGAGTTTACCACAAGCAAATAGAAATGGTGTTTGGAAAAGACAGGATGATGATTTCCAGTTCATAAGATTTTTATCCAAAGACACATTCATTCATCTGTTGCATATTTAACTGTCTGCTTTCAGCCACTTGCTAGAGTAATACTGAATTGAAAGAGCATTTTTTTCTAATAACAGCTTCATTTTGCACTGACTTACAAGCAGTCACATTGTAATCTAAAGCAGTAGAAACCAAGTGTGAGTTCAGGAAGTCCAAGCTAGAAGGATGGAGATTCTGCAGCAAAGATGAAGCTACCTGGGAGTGATTAATGGGAGTGCGGAGCCCAAATCCTATGGGGGAAAAGGAGAAGAGAAAGACAAGAAAGATACTCCTCCTGGCAAGGAGTGTCTGTCTGCAAACCTGTCTGGTGGTTATGGAGAGCTTAGTTTCATATGTTTCTTTATCACATCACCAGACAGCTTTCACTCAAGATTTAGTGTGCAGTCCTGGGCCGGCCCAAAAATAAATGAGTTCTGGTCATATTTAAGAAGTAAACTAATGAGAAGGATATGAATTATGTCTTAAGTCCTGTGGACAAATTCAGATAATCCAGTGTAAAAAATCTTTAATAATAGCAATTAGTAGATAAATCTAATTACAATTAAACAACAACAACAACAAAAAACAGGACAAACCAAAAAAATTTTGTGGGAATATTTAAATCAAAGGATGCTTGAAAGCAATCTATCCTAGTTTGAATACTTTCAAAATGTTTTCAGACATTTAATATCTACCTATAACCTTTGTTTTTGTCAATACACACAGATGCGTGAACAATTATATGCTGTAGTAATTATTTTGACAGAATTTATTCACAGACATCCTTCCTAGGATAAAACATTGAGAGGGCTGGAGCATCTCCCCTATGAGAACAGGCTGAGATATCTGGGCTCTTCAACCTGGAGTAGAGAAGGCTTTGAGAAGACTTTACAGCAGCCTTCCAGTACCAGAAGGGGACCTACAGGAAAGCTGGGGTGAGACTTTTTAAATGGGCATGTAGCAACAGGATGAGGACAAATGGCTCTAAATTGGGAAGGAGTAGATTTAGACTAGATCAGGAAAAAGTTCTTTACTGTGAAGGTGGTGAGACACAGGAATAGGCTGCCCAGTGAGACTGAGAATGCCCCTTCTTTAGAAGCATTCAGGGCCAGGCTGGATGGGAATTTGAGCAACTTGCTGTAGTGGAAGGTGTCCCTGCCTATAACAGGGAGATTGGAAGTAGATGCTCTTAAAGATCCCTTCCAACCCAAACCATTCTATGATTCTATAATCCTATGTTTAGTTCAGAGTGGGTTTAGACTGATCACTTTCTATATGGAGTTCCATAACAAGTTACTGAAATGAGAATTATTCACTCTCAGAGTCCATGATTTCAAGCTTTGTGCTACAGCACCCAGGAAGGGTGTGACAGCTTGATTGGATTGTGATGGGTGCTGAAGGACCTGAGACTGCAAAAATGTTGTGTTTGGAGCTTTACAGACCAGTCCATAGCTGTTTGTTTTGATCTGAATATTCATATATTTCTTAAACAATCGTTATCTTCACTTTAACACTGTTTTCCGGGTAATGCACTTGATGTCAGTATTTTTGTTCAGCAGCCCTCTTACGTCTTAAATTGGACCATAAATTAGCTCTGTCTGAGATATGGATAAGAGAGTCTTTACCTAGTAATACCAGGTCATAATGTATTAACACTTGACTTATCCCCGAGAAATTTATTTTTTTACTTTCTTAGACTGTGAGATTTTGTTTTGCTTTTGTTTGGATTTTGGTTGTTTGACTGTATCATTTTTTTTTTAGATTCATCTTGCCCTACCACCTAAAACTGTCATTTAAAAATTACTCTGACAACGTTTTTTGTTTAATGAGCTGTTATACCGGCCTTCAAACCAGAGAATTTGTGTAGTATGTTAAGAGTTTTAACCATATTTCTGTGTTTATAGCTTTATGTGTGTTTTGCTAATGTGTAGTGCACAGTGGTAAATTTTAGGGAAAATCTAATATTCCTCAGGGACAAAAAAAAAAAACCAACACAAATCATAATCCCAGTTGATATCACTATGCAAAATTATATATGACATGTATGCTTTCTACTGTCCTAACTGCCAAAACCATTGTCATACAACTTTGGCTGTCTGGAATAAACATTAACTGCAGCTAGGCATACTCAGTAATTCCCCCCTGCAAAATCAATATAAGATCTTTGCCAAGACATAGTATCCCACAGAGTTGGTTTTGACATATTTTCACCATTACTATGAAGTTCTGATTGCCTGGTTAGAAAATGATGGCCACCCAAAAAGTACTTTGCCAACTGTCTTTATCCCCCCTTTCCTGCATGTGTAGTTAGGTTGGTATGTCATCTAACCTTATGTCACAACCTGCATGCTGTTGATACAAAGCCTACAAGCAATGGAAACAGACTGCCCTAATGCTGTCGTGTGGTTAGAGTGCTGTCATCTTCTATTTTCCTACATCACTTCTAGTTGCTTTAGAAAAGTGGCCAGGGCTCCCATTATTGATCAAGGCCCATTAGGTTAGGAATTTCTTGAAATCTAATTTCACTCAGTGTACAAAATTCAGTATTATTCTTCTTTCTTTTCTGTAGTCTGGGCTTCTTTCCTCCACCTGGCATGTGTACTGAGATACTCTACTTGCCAGGCATTTCTTATACAAATAGCTAAATCCACTAGTCTTTCAGGAATTTAAAATGAAACATATATTTTTGCATGAGGAAGTTTGGCTAAAAGGTTTTAAACCTTGACACTCTGGTTTTCTTATTTTCTACCAGCTTGTTCTGGAAAGAAAAGCACTAGCTCTGCAAATAAACTGTTTTCAGAATGAGGGATATGGGTTTAATTCTTTCTTTTTTTACACCACTGTCATAAAAATATTAGTGAGAATACATCATAAAAGCTTACCCATGTGAGTTTTGGAAACATTTTTTTTTTTCCAAATCAATCTATTTTCTATTTTGATTATCTTTAAAGATATATAAATAAATAGAATAAACACTGTTTTTCAGTGTCTCTTTGCTTACCTGCTGTCTCTCAGCTACATTTTTTGCTGCCAAAGAACCTGGATAAAATAATAAAATAAAAAAAAAAAACAGAGGTTTTCTTATTATGTCTCCCAAGATCTTCATCAGGCATTTGTTGTTTAAACTGGCTGAGGCCAAATCTGCAAAGAAGCAATGTGTTAAATGATTCTCAACAAAGATTTATCATCCAATACTAACCCTATTGCTCTGTGAATCTTTATTATGTTTGGCAAAGAAACTGTAATGAAGATCAGAATGATTGATAAATACAAAAGGTTATTATGAATTTCTTAGATTTCCAAAGAAGCAGAACTGGGCTTAACATCTTGGGAAGCACAGATTGGTTCTGGCAAGAACTGTAGGTTGTACGCTAGGTACTCTCACTGATAGTCCAGAAGAGATTTCATCTCCAGGCAGGACTCCAGAAACAGATATGCCACAAAAGAATAGGAACACTTCTGCCTTCAAAGCATACATTGGTACAGCTCTAGCTCTAATCTGTACTTTTCTTCCAAGAAAAGGTTAAAACTTATCCCACAATTGGTTCTTGTTGCCAAGACACTTTCAACACAATGGACTCAAAAGCTGCACAATGTACAATGTTGGAAATCCTTGTTTACCTTCATTAAGTGTACCCCCAGGAGCACATTGGCAACGAGGCAATAGAAGTATTTTTCTTTCTCTTTTCCAAGTTTTTTCACTTCTCAAATCTAAGACCCAATCTGCTTTCATTGTGAAGTTAGTCACATCGGCTTTGATGTAGATTATTTTTGAAAAGCTCATGAACTGCCAAAATAGGAACAGTCTACCTTCTTTCTGACAAAAGAAGCTGAAACTAAGACATCACTTCTTTCTACCAGGCTAAGCTTTATTAAGCAAGGAGGAAAATAAGTCTGCAAAGCTATCACCTTCTCTGTCCTTCTGATCCCTTCCTTTCTTCATGTGTTCCCATGTTCACCTGAGAGATCACCAGATTACCAGTAATTAATGGCAGGTTCCTTAACAATGCTTAATTTTCCTTTCCTTGTCTTAATTACAAGTGCCTCAGGGTCAAGCTGTGTGCAGTTTTGTGCTTACAAAGGTCCAAGTACCAAGTGCTACTACAATCCAAATGTTACAGTCATGTTATTGGTCTCGAGCAGCTCTGCAGTCTGGAAGGGATCAGAGGTTCTGTATTTACCTGGAAGTTCAGGCTGGGAAACTCCACAGGCGGTCCACCAGCCTGACCTTCTTCTGTGAGTCAGGCACGTGCAACGTGCAGTGCAGCCCAGCTGGCACTGTGGCCTGGCTCCTGCCCCACGCCACCTTCCCCGCTGCCACCGCAGCTCTGCTCACCAAGCAGCCAGCCTGGTTCTGGGTGCGCACCCACTGCTCCGCCCCTGCCAAACATCAGGGAGCGGAGAGCCCTGCATGAACTGCAGCGGGGGCGCAGGGAGGGCGCAGTGCACTCCTGCTTGTGGTGTAGCAAATAACTGTGTGTCTTTTGATATGTTGGCTGAACACAGTCCTGTGGACAGCACCAATTATGCAGCCGTGCTTTCCGTTTTGATAAAGGAATTTGAGAACAGTTTCAAGATTAAAAAAACAAAAACAAAAACTTTTTTTCTTTCATTTTCAGTTGGCATGAATACATTACCTGGAAATTTTCAAATGGAGTGTACGGAGTTGCAATCAGGCATTCAACTCAAAAATCCGACCATGTCTCTTTACTTTCACAAGCACTGTCTTACCAGAGAAAAACACTCCTCCCTTCACAATCACACCTTACTCATGTCACCACTTTTTGGCAGTATGCACATTTGTGAACAACTGTTTTCAAGGATGAAGCAGAGGAAGAGTAAAATTTCATTTCTGACAAACATCTTGAATGAAACAGCCTGATGTGTTGGTTTCACATAGGCAGGGTCAAATATCCCACTAGTTCTGTGCTTTTTTGGCTCTTTTTTAAATAAAAAATATTCAAGACTAAAATAAGTTTTATTGCCTATATACATGAACTATAGTATGTATTTTATGAGGGCTACTGCAAAATAGTGCCTCCTACTTTAGTATATTGGCCCAAGGTGTCAGAGGTAGATGGTGGTGGTACAGCAGTAGAGGTTGAACTGTACCACCAACATCCCGTTATGTGTTGTTGCCCTCTGACAAATGGCAGCAGATGGGTACTGGCAAAATGGTGTCGTACTTGGAAGTGTGGCCCAGGTAAACCAAATGGTTGAACACCTATGCTCTGAGCCTTCATCCTCAACCTGGCGCCTGTAGAATCTGAATGGGTTGGCTTTGACTACATTGCTGTGTTAAAGATACATAGAAAGATTCTGCTCTGAGACAAGGTAGAGTTGGAGGATTTTCAAAAAATATCATATTTCACCTTGAAATAATACATTTGAACCATTTTATAGTACTGTCTTGAGCACTGTCACCAGTATTCTGTCAGTTTAGCCACAACTCATAAAATCATAGAATCATAGAGTAGTTTGTGTTAGAAGGGACCTCAAAGATCATCTAGTTTCAACCCCCTTGCCCTGGGCAGAGTTGCCAGCCAGTACACCAGGCTGCCCAAGAATCCATCCAACCTGGCCTTGAATGCCTCCAGGGATGAAGCATCCACAACTTCTCTGTTCAACCTGTGCTAGTGACTCAGCACTCTCTGAGTGAAGAATTTCTTCCTAACTTCTAATCTAAACCTCCCCTCTTTCAGTTTAAATCCATTCTGCCTTGTCCTATCACTGTCTGCCTGTGAAAGCAGACAATCCCCCTCCTGCTAGTAAGCTTCTTTCAAGTACTGGAAGATGACAATGAAGTTTCCCCAGAGCCTTCTCTTCCCTAAGCTAAACAAGCCCAACTACTTCAACCTTTCATCATCAGAGAGGTGCTCCAGCCTTCTGATCATCTTTGTGGCCCTCCTCTAGACCCATCCTAACATCTCCACATTGTTCTTGGACTTGAGACCCCAGACCTGGATGCAGTACTGCAGTGTGGCCTGACAAAGGCAGAGCAGAAGGGGATAATCACCTCCCTCTCCCTGCTGGCCTTCTCTCTTGATACAGCCAAGGATGCTATAGGACTTCAGGCTGCAAGAGCACACTGCTGGCTCATGTTCAACCTCTCGTCCACCAGGACCCCCCAGTCCTTCTAGACAGGGCTGCATTGGGTCCTTCTGCAAAGCCTGACAGCTTATATCTTGACAGCAGAGAATTCCCAGAAATTTTGCCTGGTTATGCGTTGTTTTGTTTTCTCTGATGTTTTAAACAATTGGGTACTGTATTACTGCTGTACTCTTGCATAATTACTACAGCCTTCTAGTCAATAAGTAAGGCCTGGTCAGCAATTGGGAAAAGGGTAGTCAGGAACTAAACTCCAGTAAACCATGCTCTCACTCCTCCTCCTCAAACAGGAAAAAAATAAATAATCACAGAATCACAGAATGGCCAGGGTTGAAAGGGACCTCAAGGATCATGAATCTCCAACCCCCCTGCCTCATGCAGGGCCACCAACCTCCCCATTTAATACCAGACCAGGCTGCTCAGTGCCCCATCCAATCTGGCCCTGAACACCTCCAGGGATGGGGCATACCACAACCTCTCTGGGCAGCCTGTTCCAGCACCTCACCACTCTCTGTAAAGAACTTGCCCCTGACATCCAACCTAAATCTTCCCTTCCTCAACTTAAAACCATTTCCCCTTATCCTACACATATCAACCCTTTCAAAGAGTTGATTCCCCTCCTGTTTGTAGGCTCCCTTTAGCAACAGAATGGTTGCAATGAGGTCACCCTGCAGCCTTCTTTTCTCCAGGCTGAACAAGCCCAGCTCCCTCAGCCTGTCTTCATAGAGGAGGTGCTCCAGTCCCCTGATCATCTTCGTGGCTCTCCTCTGGAACCTCTCCAACAGCTCCCTGTCTTTCTTGTACTCCAGGCTCCAGACCTGGACGCAGTACTGCAGATGGGGCCCCACAAGAGCAGAGTAGAGGAGGACAATCACCTCCCTGTCCCTGCTGGCCACCCCTCTTTTGATGGAGCCCAGGATACCATTTGCCTTCTGAGCTGCAGAGCACACTGCTGGCTCATGTTAAGTTTTTCATCTATCAAGACCCCCAGGTCCTTCTCCACAGGACTGCTCTCAAGGACTGCTCCTTCCAGTCTGTACAGATGCCTGGGATTCCTCCGGCCCAAGTGCAAAACTCTGCACTTTGCTGTGTTGAACCTCATCAGGTTCACCCGGGCCCACCTCTCCAGCCTGTTGAGGTCCCTCTGAATGGCATCCCTTCCTTCCACTGTGTCAACCGCACCACTCAGCTTGGTGTTGTCAGCAAACTTGCTGAGGCTGCACTCGATTCCATCATCGATGTCACTGATAAAGATGTTAAAGGGCATGAATAAAAGGAAATTAATTCAAGGAAAAAGAGAAAAAAAGAAAAGAAAGAAAGAAAAAAAAAAAAAGCAAAGAGAGAAAACATAAGTATTCTTCCCAAGACTGCCCTTGTCCTTCTCTTTTCCCTGCCTTTATTGCTCAGCATGGCACTGCATAGTGTGGGATATCCCTTTGGGGAGGAGCTGTCCTGTCTGTATTCCTTACCCAACTCCTGCCCACCCCCAGCCTCTGGTTTTGGGGCTGGAGAGAGCCTTGGTGATGTGCTTGCACTGTTCAACTGCAGCCAAACATCAGTGTGACATCAGCACTGGTCCAGCAACAAGTGCAGAGCTCAGTGCTGTGTGGGGAAAAGTGGACGCCACACTTCAGCCAGACCCAGTGCACATGTAACTTGTAAACAATTATTAAAGCTTCATGACATACAACGTGATAGTAATAAATATGTGCCATTGCACTGCAAGAAGAACATAAAACATCTGAGGGCTTTTCTCAGATATAGGTATTTATGTCCTTTGCTCAGCCTGTCTGCTTCTTGGTGGAAAAATGCTGAAACAAAGACAACAGACAAAGGAGAAGGGATGCATAGGCTTCCCCTGCAGTCCAGGAAACCTCCAGCTGCAGTAAAGCATGGTGCATCCAAGAGTCCACCTTCTTCAGAAACTGTCTCCAAAGTGGACTATGCTTTATATGAACTCATACATCATATTGAACCCATTTTGATTTATGTTCCCACATTTCTTATGCATTTAAACTGCTGATTTGAAAACTTAGCATTAGTTTGAGCACATTTTCTGGGACACTTAATTTTGTAAAGGAATACAAGTTTTCACTTTTCTGAAGAATATAGCCACATAAATGTCCTGGAACATATTTCATTACCTTATAACTTTTTTTGCACACTGTACCATCACGCAACATTGTTTGCATGCTGGTACATCTCTGGAACTTCATACTTTAAAATACAGACCTCTTTTGCTAGCTCTGGTGAGACTATTGACTACATGGAACAACCTTGGACTCATCCGTATTTATCATTTCCCACTATTAATGAAGCAAACATTTATCTATGAATATTTTTGCACCTTTTCCTGTTTAAAAAAAAAAGGAAAAAAAAAAGTAGAAAGGAATTTTTTTGTTAAGTATGAAAGTTTATTTTAGGGTTTAATTTTAAGCAACATCTCTAGCCTTGAAAAGTGGCATTTTAATGTATTTTCTTCTGTAGAACAGAAAAAAAAGCAAAAAATCACACATAATGTGATGAAGATTACTTGTAACAAAAGTTTGCAAATACATGCTGCTCTCTATGCTCAAGGGAAAAAAAAACTCTTGGCGCCTATGTGATACAGGACTCACACAGTTCAGTAACAAAACAAGGCCAGTGAGCACTAGCCTGTACTGAACTGCACACGCTGCTCAGCCCAGCTTTCCTTCCAGCTTGAAAGTCTGCAGAGCTCAGAGGTTTCACAGTGGTTCAGTTTCATATTAGACAAATCCAGCAGGTTTTGGCTGGCATGACTTTGAGCAAACACAAAAACCAAAATGAAGCTCAGGAGACTAGAAAGGAAATGTTTATGTCAAGCCCCAGCAAACCAAAACACAGCAATCTTGAAAAACTGTCTCTGAAATCCTTGCTGAGAACACAACACCAGTTAAAAACATGATAAATCTTTTACAACCTGTTAATAAATGTATGATTCACAGTTGCCTTGTAGATGTGTGTGGATACCAAATTCCCTACAGAACAGTAATGTGCTGGCTATTGTACTTCTGGTTTCCCTCTTCTTACTCAACAGGATGGCTCCAGTCTCTTGCAAGAAGGACAATTTCCACTGAAAACAAAATGAAAAAACTTTCAGCATGACCTACATTTCTTCATCTATTTTTTTCCTACTCCACACAGTTTAGTTTAGTGAAACTGACTTTTCAGGAAATATCATG